GAGTTCCGTTAGCGTGCAAAAACAAAACAAAATAACGAGTGCAATCTTCAAGAAAGCTGGCGCCTGGCATTTGAGAATAATGAACTGGCTCGTTTAGTTTGTTGCTGAATCCAGCTGGAAATGTTATTCGGACATATGTAACTACAGACGAACCCCCTGTAAGCGACAACTCAGAAGGCTAAGATTTACTGGTCGATTAGGGGAAGGTGTTGGCTATGAGAGTCGAAACAGAGAGGTCTCTTCGGGAGAGGTGCGGCCATAGACTTGCAGTGCTAGCTTGTCATTTAGTGCATACAGCGAACATAGAGATCTGACCGTTTGTCAAGTGGTCGCTTAAAAGAAGTCTAAAACAATAGAAATTTAGCCTGTACGAGGCTCACGGTCAGACGGTCAGTGCAGATGAGCGACAAAAGCGCAAGGAAAGAGCGAGGGAGAATTGACGGGAAGAGACAAAGAGAGAGCCTGTAGGGATTTTTTTAAAATACCTCCGTCCCCCCACTACCCCGCCCACTTTCAGAGAAACCGTTTCCCGTTTCAAAATGAGCGGTGTAGGAGGGTTTCACAGGCTCACCATAATTCTTTGACTCTGCGCTCGTGAAGCCGAATGGTTGACGTAAGCGTTGACGTAACTATCCAATTTGCGCGGTTTTCGCCCAACTTTTTTCCATGCGCTATTCTTACTGGAACATGCTGTGGAAAATTGTAAAACCGTGGCTCCAAAGAGTGGTCGTAGTCGCTTACGAGGGTGGTCCCTTACGAGAGATTTCAAATGTAGGGTTTTGACCAGCCTTCCACAGAGACGTTCTTTTGGCTCGACACGCAATCCTCCCCAACGAAGGGCAGGAACGCGTGACGTACCCCTAAGAACGTCTGAAGGTAGTCTCTTAAGGGAGGTGATCGATTAAGAGAGGTAGTCTCATATAGAGGTTCTTTCTCTGCACATCAAACTGTTTTACCTCTCTCTCTTCTGCTCGCTGGTGTCCCACTGCCACTATAGCTTTTTGATCTTCGCCGACGACGGCTTCCCTCGTCTTCGTCGGAGCTCAGACCAGATGAAGAATCAGAGGAGCTCATAAACACGTACGTGGCGACTGATGACGCAGGTGACAGTGTTGGAAGCATTGGTGTCCGTGCAGGAGATGGAGTTTCCGATTCCGAAATTGCTGTCGATGTTGTGGACCTGTCCGCTAACTTGTCAGCAACTTGTTGGAGGAAATCTGAACGTGATGAACTACTTCTTTGGAATCGTCTTGGAGGCGTGCCTTCTCCTTTGACGAGTTTTCTTGTATGGGTTTTCTCACTGTGCGTACTTCCAGACCGCGACTCCCGCGTTGGTTTTTGCGACGCGGAAATCTGAGTTCGCGACGCTATCCCTTCCGCTGACACAGCCGCAGCAAGTTTACCACGCGGCGAGGGCGAAACGGATGGCGAGTTTGAATCTACTCTGCTTCTTCTATTTTGAGGTGCAGCCGGTAACTTTGCTCCCCTAAGAAAAAGAAGAACAATCAGACAACTCAGTCTTACTCTCCAAACAAAAACATAGTGCAGCTTTCATTCGAATTATTTCTTACCGAAATAAACAGTACAAGACACAACACGCAGTGATAGCATGTACGACACATCTCATAAATAGCGAAGTAAAGTGGATAGTGAGTAAATTCGCTAAGAACTCCCATGTGGCTTGGTGGTTGGAAGGTCAAATCAGTTCCCGTAAATTGTGTGGTTCGAATCAAGTGCAGAAAACAGCGTTTTTCTTCGACTAAGAACCTCAAAGCATTAATGAGCTTGACATTTACCACGTTTTATTTCCTTTCTACAAAAAATGCTACGGAAATCCGAGGTCTGGTATCAGCCAACTTTTACGAAGGGGCTAAGAACCTGTGCTTCCGATCTTCAGATGTCACAACAAAATGCAAGCAATGCATTTTGAGGGCACAGACATCACAAAAAATGAAACAAAATAAAGAAAAGTGCAATTTAGAAATAATTTAGTAGAAAATATTCCATACGGTATATTGCTTACTTATGCAGGTATGTTGCTTAGACGCATGGAATCGTAGACGAAAAACCACACTGTGGATGTGCGACCAATAAATCGTCATCTATTTCTTTATTTCTTTCCTTCTTTATTTATATATTCAATAATTCCCTTATTTATTTCATTCCCTTCTATTTTTAAATCGATCTCAGTTCCTTAAATAATGCACCATACCAAACAACACACCTATAATTATAAATACTAGTAAATGAAAATAAATATTACCTTGCGGGCTTTGCATTCCCTGTGAAACTGCTCGTTCTGGCTTGACCGCGCCCCTTCTGAACATTTCGCATCTTTTGTGAAGGGTGACTTGGCTGAGAAAATCATAAATACATCACAAAATACTCTACTTCTTTAAAAAGTGAAATTCTCTCGTGGAAATGCTGGTATTCAAAACATTTCTCTATTTCAAACTTGCTTTGGACATGTACCAAAACCCTTAAGGAGCTGAGCTGCGAAATTTATCAAATTTAAACAGGGGGAACTGTCAACAAATTGGGTAAATCACAAAAACATTTCAAACCGCTCGAAACATTTCAAGAAGTATAAAAAACACACAAAAATACCTAGCCTGCTCAGCTGGCGGGATTCTTGGGCGTCTCTGCCGCCAAAAACTACAGCAGTAGCGCTAATCCCACCAGCTCCGCAGGCTAAAAAATACCACAAAAGGAACGGATGGACAAATTAAACGAAAATTTCAAACTGACGAATTGAAACACGAGTAAAAATACGTATTCTTATTTTATTTTATTTTTTTACACGAGTCCGTACAAATTTTTCCCGGCGTCAGCACTGTAAGGTTTTTTTTTTTAAATCAAAGGTGTGTCATTGGGCTCCACTAAGTCCACGCTTTACCTGCGCTGAAACTGTGTCAAAAATTTGCATAGTTCACGCAAAAGGGGAACCATACGGGTCAAACATTTTGACCTACTTCAGAAAAACTTGCACACTTTGCAGTTCAAAAACTTGCACGGCTCCGCGGGTCTTGTGTAAACGAAAGGCGGATCAGTGTAAGTAAGTTTTGGTCCGTTCAAAAGTTTGTGCGGACCCGTGTTAACAAGGTTGAAAACCTATTGCTTTAACTTTGACATCGTGCTTCGTGGTATATTACCTTGGCTACTTCTTATTAACGAAATGAACTAGAAAGCCATGTCGACGCCTCCTTAACAAACAACATACCACATATCCAATCCTGTCCAGCTCCTTCATGCTACTGAGGTCCTTCGGCTTTGATTCCATACCCGGCTGGTCTTCCTCGGCAACATCCAGCAAAGACTGCAGTCGTCTTTCAACATCATCTTCATCGCGAAATGGCTGCAGTTTTGGTGGCGGGGGAATCAACATTTCCTCCTCCGTTTCCTGTTTGAAGTAAAAATAAGTGTATCAAGCAAATCCTTATTATCACTAAATTTACACTGAGATAATAGGGAACTTCAGTAACGACGACGGCGACGAGAACGACAACGCCAAGAAGGCAATAGGTTTAGGGCCCGTTTACATGGAGGTGGAGGACCCCAGGTAGGTGAGGCAACCCACTTGGGTGGGGTAACCCGCCTGCCATATAATCCCTCATTTTACTTGGATCACGTTTACATGATAGGTGGGATGACCCGCCTAGGCGGGTAGCCCGGTCTGCCAAACCGGGTAAACCTCTCGGCCGGGGTCAAATTTTGCCATGTAAACGTTTCAAGGTGGGGTAACCCGCCCAGCCGGGGTCGGATTTGAAATATATCAAACTCGCGCAAAATTCATTTTGGCGGTGACTTTGCATCATTATTAAAGGTAGCAATCGAAAGCCACAGCACTGAAGGTTGCAGCAAGAGCAGCACGTGAGTGTAGAGGAGCATTAATCGCCAAAACACGAGGTTTGCCAGTATTTTTCTTGTTTACGCGCTTAGCGACCATTCAATGATCTTGAAAATGTGCACCCCGGGATGGCGGGGTTGTAAGATTACATGTAAAGGAGGGTTATTTTTTCACCCCACCTAAGCGGGTTACCTCACGTACCTAGGGTCCCCCACCGCCATGTAAACAGGCCCTTAAATTAGCAAAACACCAACTCTGCACGTTTCTTTGCCGTCGCTGTACGATCACAACGTGAAACTTCCCATTTTCATGTTTTGTGGAGGACGTGAACGCAAACAACAACACAATCTTCTTTTTCTTGTCTTGACCTTCGATACAGTCCTTTAGAATTCAACTCTAGAAAAATTCTTCATTATTTGCCGAAGTGAACGAGATGGAATAAACACGACACAGTTTGAAGCCTGGAGCGCGACTTCTCTTTTTAAGAGACCTTTCTTTAGCCGTTGCCGTCGTTGTTGCTTAAGCTCCCTGTTCATTACACCTTACTTTCCAGCTACTTTACTCTGTGGATATGAACAGTACACTGAACCTCGATATAAGGAAAGGCCAAGAGACTGGGAATCATTACATCATTGCGGTTTCATTATTTTAAGTAAAAGTTCTTTTTCATATACTTGTCCTTTACTATTACTCGGGGAAGAATAACGTTCGTTATAGCGTACAAGAACTTACAAGAAACCGAAAGTCATACGTTCTACAATCTAATAATCATTCTCTGGCCCCTAATACTGACCTTTTTTAGAAAAATCTTAATTGCACATTTTTTTATCAACTGCTATCATGATTTTTACACAATCACCTCGCCAGGAAGCCCTCCAGGATTTGGACTACTCAACAATGACCTCAGCCTGTCTTCAAGTGGGATCGCCCCATTAGCACGCATCTAAAAAGAAACAATTTTCAGTTTTCATTAATGTAGAGCACCACCTCTCCAAACCGTTCATTTTTTAACACATTTATTTTTATTGAAGAAGTTAAGCCTTCTCCCGAATGATTACACTTCTAACATTTGATAACTTGTTTCCGTCACTACATTTTCACCCGTAAACTCACTGTACAATGACGACGGTTACCACGTTTTCCCGCCAAACTAGGGAGCTTTTGCAACGACAAAGGCGACGGCAACGAGAACAGCAAAAATGCAGTAGGTTAATTTAATTCGTAAAAGAATAACTTTGCACGTGCATCACACTTTTTTGTACATTTCTTTGCCGTCACTGCACGACTAGGACGTTTTATGAAGGACGTAAACAAGCGACAACGAATTCTTTCCTTCTCTTTCTAAACTTGAGTGCGGTCCCAAAGAAATCAACTCCAGGGAAATTCGCCTACATTTGACATTTTCAACGAATTAGAATAAACGCGACAAAGTTTGAAAAACGCGAATTCATTTTAAAAGTGACGTTTCCGCCGCCGTCGCCGTCGTCGTTGCAAAAGCTCGCACTAAATAGTAGTGAGAAAATCTCGTCATCTTAATCGTCCCCCTTTTAGAACCTAAAGGTGATGTTACACAGGATAATTCGCAACGACGATTTTTAGCGCGACACAGCGTTGCAATGTTGAAACAATGTGGTAACTATTCGAAACAATGTCGCAACAATGTTGCACCGCTGTGTTGCGCTAAAAATCGTCGTTGCGAATCGTACTCGTGTAACATCACCTTAAAGGTCTCTAGAAACTCACCTGTGACGGTGAGAGATTCCGGGCTGTTTGAAGGACTCCTCGCTTGTCCAATTCTGTTCGGGTCTATAAAACAATACTTTAAATATTACAGTTTACATAGAAGAGGATGTTAACCTTAGTGAAATTTGCAATACACCGTGGAAACCCTTAAATACGACCAGTAGCGAGTCATAAGAATTTGGCACAAAGCAACGAGGTGGGCTGGGCTTTTCTCATTTTTACTTTAGGGCTGAATTTTGTTCGTTTGTTTGTTTGTTTGTTTTTTACGCTGCTGACTTTGTGAAGAAAACGAGCATTTTACAAAAGAACAATGTGCCATTTTCACAGACACTCTAAGTAAGAAAAGGAATATCTAAAACAGTAACTTTCTTATGTCACTTGTCTGTCCTTTGACATGCATAACTGCTTCAACCGGCCGTATTTATAACCAAGGTGAATTTGTTGAGAAATATTTTTACGTTGGAGTTTATAATGTGACCGGTTTGGCCCTGCTGTACGCTTAAGAAATTAATTTGAAGACAGTGATAGAAGATGAACAGCAAATTCTTACTGGAGATTTTTTACAGTATGCAAAAAATCAAAGAATATTCCATTTCGTAATGAAATCCAAATTTAGGCTACTTTTTTTTGCTTGCTGACACCGTTCGGAAAAATTAAATTTTTTATATACCGTAATGATAACATCCGAAGGCTGTACTGGTTTTCGTGACAGAATTGGACTTTCCTGGCCTTCAAGCATTCCTGGCATGCGGAAGTCATGGATAGGAGATGGTTCATTTTTCTGAGTCGTTGGTGAGGCCTCATCTGAATGGTACCCTGAGCTACTGCCGTGGGTGCGTGGGTCAACATCATAACCTGTAAAGAGCCAATTAAAAATTAAAAACTGAAGCTCTTGGAAGCAACAGCCACCGCCTTGTTAGCTCAATTGGGAGAGTGCCGGCCGGTTGAGCAGAAGGTCGCACTTTCACTTATCCGGTTCTTGTGGGACGTTAAAGAACCCACACCACTGTTCGAAAAGCGTAGGGGACGTTGACCCCGGTGGTGTGACTAACAAGTTTCAGTTCTTCAATAATACCATTTTCTACCCAGGAATGCTTCTCCAGTTTTATGTAAGCTTCCCCACTCTAATAAGCAAACATCTCCCATCTAAAGAAAGGACGGAAAAAAGCATTCAAAGCTCCCCTTCCCCACCCCAGCCGGGGATGTTTCTAAGAGAGTGCATTGCATTACGGTGGGGGTGATTCTTACATGAACAATCATACCATCAGGAAGGGAGAAACCAGTAATCTTGCTTTTTCTAAATGGAGGATAGCCTATACCAGCAAGATTCAATCATGTAAGCACAGATGTGTAAGTTGCATCTTTACCTAAACTCACATGTAACCATACAGTCGCTTCAAAATACTTGGTAAAATGCTTTTAATAAAACGAGAAAGAAAGGAAAACCAACAGCGCAGAACATTCAAGATCTGCATTAATTTACAAACTTTTCGGACAGATCTAAGGGGACTTAATTGCTCAAAACGGGGACTACTTAAAAAGATGTCTGATGAATATAATCACAATTGTGCAAAAGAAGTTACCTACCATTAGTTGAAGGTAGATATGGTACTGATCCTTCCTTGTTTGAGCCAGATGAGCTGGGTCGAGGCCCATCAGGAGATACCCATCCTTCACCCTGCGATGTGTTTAAGGCATACATAAGTAAATCAAACAATTATTAATATTATTATCAGAAATATTTGTTAAACTAGCCTCAGGACCACGGAGATTGAGATCTCAGTCTCTTAACTAGTAAGACATCACATCAGTAAGCGTGCAAAGAAAGTCGTGTCTGATAGCCCGGGACTAGTGGATTTTGCTATCAGGCTAGCAAATTCTGCTCTTAACTTGCCCACCAGGCAAGTGACTTTTTCTGAGGAATTCAAATTACATAAGAACTGTGTAATCAATCCTCATCATCAAAACGATTTTGAGGCTAGTTGAAATGACTTTTGGGCTAGTACATGCCAGGTACAGCTTGCCTCAATGGCAAGCTGTAAAACTGACTTTCTTTGCAACCTGTCAGTACATGTAAATTAGCCAAGTGGTATGAAGTAAAGCCCTCAAAAAAGGTTGGGAGCCAACTCAGTAATGAGAAACAAAAACAACCTTTCATACATTATGTAGATTTTATTTTACCTTAAACTGTGACTTAACATTCCTGCACAGACTCAAAACAGACTTCACATTGCCATCAATGAGATCTAAGGAAATAAATGCACACAGAGATTACACTACAGAACAGGATAGGTCTTCTGGCTAGTCAGGACGTTATTTTCCAATCCTTGTTAGTCAGTCTTTCTATCTCAAAATCTTTAATTTTTCTTGCAAAGTCCCTGACGTTCAAACAAGTCTCTGATTTTACTATTCACCATGCCTTTACATGGCTTTATGAACTAATGAATGTTTTCACCTTGATCTTTCATTTTCTACAACAGTTATGTTTGGATGGACTTTAAATACTACCCGTTTTTACTTCCCTGGGTTTTAAGAGTCTCAGTTACCAGGATTAGTTCTCTACACTGTGTCAACTTGATCCTTGTGAAGTCATCATACAGGGTATCACAGATCAAGGAATCAGAAAATTAAAGAAAACATGTACTACACACTTGCCTCCAACATAGATGCCCTGCAGGTCTATATTTCTGTTTCCCATAAAACTCATGCATAACTGAAGATTCTCCAACTTTTGAGCCCTGGTCACTGGGCGTGCATAAACCCCTGGGATTTTTTGACCAGCTGAAATGAGTAAAACATCATTTCATATGTTACAAATGCCTCAATCTCTGCCAAGAGCAATGACAGCTGTAGACACGCTAATGTCACAACGTGTACACATAATTTGAGTAAACCTAAGTTCCATTAAATCATGGTAGGTTAATAAGCTAAACTTGTTTGGAAAAAATGCAGACATTTTATTATTATATAATAATTGCACAGATATGTATATCATTAACAGTTAAAAACACCATAACATTATAACAGTTTTCATGTAACATCAAGTTTCACTGAGCCAATTGCAAATGAAGATACAAGTGATAAGCATGGCAATTCGAATTTTACACTAGCTCTGTAGCTAATTGTATACAAAGTAGCCTTAAAAATGACTTCTGTTTAAAGAAAGCATTTTAAACTTCAAGTTTCGCAGAATTTAAGAAGAAATTGTGTACATGAACACAAACAACAGTAATGTTACAGTGCACCCCTTGGAACTGAAATACGTTAAAGTTCTATGAAGTTGCAGAGTTTAAAAATTCAGAGTGGTGTAACATTGCTGTCTTCAGGAACGGTATATATAACTTCACAAAAGAATAATATACAAAGCACTGCAGGGTTTATATAGAAAGACTGCCCTAACGCATGAAACAGTACAATCATGTCAACAAACAAGGATTATGTTACATCCAGAAATGCTAACATCATTTCTAAATAAAGCTGCCACAATTTTCATATTTACTTCTTTTTTTCTGCCATTTAAGCATGATCCTGGTATAATGACATTTTTAAACTGCTCTAGTATTTGCCTCAGCTCACATGTTGGCCATTTCTTCATCATCGATATTTTCAAATCAGAATGTGCATATTCACTGTCAACAAAGGGGTGTTCATCATAAAAGTTTTATAACACCTTGAGCCGTATTGTAATGGAAAGGCCCGCCATGACAATCATAGCAGGATTTATACAATGCCAATAAGCATTTCATAATAATAGACAGGATATTACAATGTTTATAGACAAAGAGGATAAAGTGACGGCCTGAGTTATAAATTACACTCATAACGGATATTACCAAGAGACAAAGGTCTGATGAAAGAAAGACTTGTAAACAAATATACAAAGGTTTCAATAACTCAAAAATGCTGCAAGCTTTTTTTTGCATCTAAATAAAGTATGCCAAATTAGTTATTGCATTTTTTGTGCAGGAAGAGGTCAGTCAGCAAGATTTGGCTTTAAATCCTTAAACTCACCATTTTCTTTGTCAAAGTTACATGTAATTAAAGGATGAAGGCTACAACAAAAGGATGGCACATTCTTTAAATTCAGTTCAATGTAATTTGCATGATAATATACTTTTTTACTTTCATTAACAATGATATGTACGAAATGAGTTGTTTTCACCTAATAGTGATTAGAGAACAGTTTAATCTCCCACAAATTTCAAATCCAGTCATCAAAAAAATTGCTGATGAAACTTTACATTAATGACAATGACTCTGAGATGATTCCAGGCAAAAGAAGCTGTGTCAAAATTCAAATTAGTGACCTTGAGTGTTGTTATCATTTCCTTGATGCTTTAACTTTTTGAACTGGTTTTTTAAGTAGAGTTAAGGGTCGTCAGCAATGACCAGAATATAACACTGATGACCAAATCACAGATCACTATATTGCTGATTGGACAAACACAATTCAAGCTGCGAAACTACTTAGCGACTCTTGAAAATACCACTTAAAAGAACCCAAATTTGGTTCAATATGTCAATTTTTCTGGAGGTCCACTAACTTAACTGTCTTAATATTATCAAATGCAGTTCAAGTTACACTTTGTTAAAAAAATGTAAAGCTGGCTTCTGATCTCCACTTGCCACGACAATAGGGTGAACATTACTGCATGGTATTATCATATGTGACTAAATTGGAAGAACATATTGTTTTTAATGACCCCTATGCAAACTGAATCAAAATAATTTATATGCAGGCTGCTCCAGAGAGCAATATTTTGGTTCAATAAGCAATAAACATCATCTTGTGAAGGTAGCGAGGAAAACCTTGCAGTGTAGCAGGCTGTCTTCACCAGCTGCTGGCTCTTGCAAACAACCCTGAAGACCCAATCCAATTTTGCGGTATCACACACTCATTTTACACATGTCCAACCCATCTCCTTTGGTTAGTTTAGCACAAAGTTGTCTATTATTATGTTCAAACTAAGTCCTAATATTTATAAATCATCCTGCAGTTAAACACCTTCCTCCTACATGTACATTTAACTGTTCACTACATGTACTATACCAAGCTAACAACTACATGTACAGACTATTGGCAGTCTACCACCAGTTGTCAATAGGGCCTCTTAATTACTGCAGTCTAGTAGGATTGAAGGGAAAAGGGTCTTACGGCCCCTTTACTGATCTTAGCTGCATTTTCAAAAGCAACTGTTTATAGAAAAAGCTACTGAAGCCTCTGACTCCCTTTTTTCAGGACTAGATGAAAAATGGATTCAAGCTTATATCGTTTGGGCAAGCAGCTCTCAAATTTTGTTTGCCTGAGGCCACTTCTTGCTTGTCTTCTTTAATGATTTTGTTAAAAAATGACTTGCATTGGATTCTTGCTCACTGGGCAAGCAAGAAAATCTGCTTGTCTCAGACTACTGGACAGTACTATTTTCGAGCCCTGTTATTGCGGGTAATTGATTAATGACAGTCCAGGGTTGTTAAAAGTAGCTGGCTGCTGGCGAAAATCGCCACCAACTTGGTTAGTATCCGCCGGCTACTCTGCTTGGCATTTCTTTATGGAATCCCTGGACTGGCCTCTTACTTTGACAACTCAGCTGTCTACGCCAAAACTTTTTGACAACCCTGCAGTCTTGAGCAGGAGCTTAGTTCAAACAAAGGCCTGTAATTTACTGTTGCCAGGGATTCAGTAGCTGTCCGTATCACAGTGGCATTTGTACCAGCAAGGTGTTCACAAGGTGAAATTTGAAAGTAGATAAAGTGACAAACCAGGCAAATTAAAATACATGTACTTCTGAGAGTACCACCCACTGGGATTGCACTTGTTAGACTCGCAGCTCCATTTCTAATTGTTGTTGATGTTATTGTTGTTGTTGTTATCCACTAGATACAATGTCTGTAAAGTGGATAATGCTGATTATTATATAAAGACCAATGAAATATCAGGTGAGCTTTTGCCCAAAAACATGATCTTCACAGGTGAAATAACATGTTATCTTCACATGTGAGAGATCACTATTATTATTGCTAATGGCTACATAATAAATAACTGTGCCTTTCACAGCAAAAGAAAACACTAAAGTGAAATAGTTTGACATTTCATTGATGTTTATTATTATAATAAATAGAACATTACATGACTGCTTGGAGATACAGCATTTCTCTTGTTGTGTTAAAAAATATTTCAGTTGTTCTCTGCGCTCTCTTGTGAATTATTTTTCAACCTTTGAAAAGAAATTTTGTTTCTCAGAGCAGCCATGTAATATCCTCTATTATTTTATCCACTTGATACAAAAATGTAGCTGTTTCCAATCATTTGAGAAGCTGCAGCCCGATATATAGGGTAAATCAAGGTGCCCATACATTTTAATAAGTTTTATTTCCCAAAATTGGGAATAACATTTTCAAACTCTCCAACTCACATCTAGAACAGGGCATCATTGTGAATAGAAAGTCCCTCTAAAGTGGAGTCCAAGTTTGTTGGCCAATTACCCGAGTAACTACCAACCTTATGGGAAAAATGGGATTGGGATTGGATACTTATGTTTACAACAAGGTATGGCCAGGAAGGCAATTCTACCTGTTTGAAGTCATACAAAATACACCCAGTTTTAAAAGGCAAATACATGTACAGGGATATGTCACTCGACGGTCATACATTATCTTTGGTTAGCTTTTAATCTTTTTTGCTTTTTTTTCTTTCTTTTAACTAGTACTAATTCAAAGGATAGCTTTGGGTATTCTGTCTGGTCAACACATTCAACTCAGGATAGATGTTGTCCGACCACGACAAGTTTTTATCCCACATTCTCTAATATGTATTTTAACATCCTGGCCAATAGAAATGCTGGATTGAGAGATGAGACGGACACAGACTAATAATTTTCTGACTTAAACTGTGCTTTACAATCTTAGTATCTTAGTATTTTATTCATTAATTCACATCTATAGCCATGGGACTTCATGATATTAAACAAGTGTATTTAGAAACGAAAAACAGAAAGCCATAAAAATTATCACCTCTAATATACCAGAATAGACAATTAAGTGAGTTGATGATTCCTCAAAAAAAGAAATGCTACAATTAATGTAGGATGAGATCAGATAGCACAAGCTGGGAATGATTTTCGAAGAGTTTTGTTTATCACCTACAAGTGCAGGGTGCTTTTGTCAAACTGAACAATTGTCAATTGCGTGATTTTGCTTAAAAGTATTGAGAACAATCACTATTATCATTAATTATTATTCCATTTTCATCAAATGATAAAATTTTTCTACACAAATGTAACCCCGCAGGTAAAATAACAACTTTGAACAAACGGAAAGACAATAAAATCTGCTCTAGTTTACAAATAACGAGTGGTTGCGTGAACCAAAACAGATCTATCAAACCGCAAGCGTAATATAAAAAATTGCAATAGATATCCGTACGAACGCAGACGGTCGATACTTCGTATCGTGAAAGCGATATTCTCTTTGTTTGGTTTTGTTTTAATGAAAGACCAAAAAATATGTAGTAGGACAAACAATGATTTTTAAAGAAATAACGAGAATGATTTTGCTCACCTAAAATTTCCAGAATGTGAACTAAAGTTTGCCCATCACCAATCGAGCGTCGGATGTCGGAAATGGTTCTGCGTTTTCCTCTCTTGAGTAAATGATTAGCCCAAGACGTGAAATCCTTTGAATAAAACAAAAAGAATAACGCTACGATTGCTGAACGAAAAGTTATCTTAGAAACGACATTTCAAACGCTAAAAGCCTTCACAGAGGGCGCATAGTTACTGACCTGAAACCAAACAGCAGCCCGACTGTGAGCTACAACTTCCAATACTACATCAATTTGTAAACTGATTGTAATCTTTTATTGTATTCACCAGGAATATTTAAACAGACATAATGAACTTTAAATAAAGTTATAGTTAAGTACCTCGCACTCCTTAAGAGCCCATTCTCCAGTTACAGAGACTTTCATCGGGGCATTTTTGGAATGGAACACCGGAAAAGCCGCGGCTTCTTTCCTCGCTCGTGTGTTAACGGTAGTGAACGCTTGCTTCGAAGCCGTTCCTTGTGCAACGGGATGGCGCATTCCATCAACTAAGTTCGAGTCTGTATTCTGAGCAGAAGTGACCTTTCCCAGAGAACTTGTGGGCTGGAGTTCGATTTCATTTTGCCAACTTTGCTGCGTAAAATAAAACAATCAAAGTTTACTTGACCGTGTATGCAGTAAAAGAACAGTGGGTGAAGTGACAATTTCATCGCGCTTACCACCGGTTGTCCACCAACTCCAATTTTTAACTTTCGCGAATGCCCCCTATTATGTCTTACGTCCGTCATTACGCTTTGAAGTAGACTCCTCGAAGTATTAAATGCGATTACATGATTCAAACTGCAAGCCAGAGTTACTAGCTGTAAAATTTATGCAGTTACTGCATGCAAACTTTTGAGATGCGTGTCAATTTCTTTCAAGCCTATTGTCACAATCCTATTGGCTAATACCAACTCATCCACCGCCAATTAACTTATTACTGTCTTTGTGCTAGCATTCTTTAGGATTCACGCACCATATTTTCAGTCACGGATTGATTTCCAGCCTTTTAGTTTAGCTTAAGGAAATTGAAGAAAACAAAAACTAGAATTTACAGATACATATCCATATCAACGATCGTTTACTTAACGTTTTCTTCGTACGATTCTATAGCTTCCTTTTCCGGTTGTTATGGGGCACTTCAAGGACCACACAGTTCAGTCAGCAATAAAACGTGACTTCTTTGTGACCAAACCTTTCTTCAGTTTAAAAAGAATCTAAGCAAAGAAAAATACCAAATTATAAATTTCAGAAATCTGAACCGCTAGCAGATAAGAAAGTGATAAGGCAAACAACAAACAAACAAACAAACTGGCAGACAGACAGACAGACAAAACTAAAAACTTTTAGAGGTGATGTGTTATTTTTTAGTGAGTTGAGGGTTAGTTGAGGGTAAAAGGCGTGAAAGATCAATAAAAATTTCGTGCCAATGTAAGCGTACAAAATATCCGTGATTCTGTGTATGATGACGTCATAACTGTGCACAATTCATACTTCGCCTGATCAGGAGGAACACCTAATCGCAAAATGAATAATATGGAAATCCTTTTTCTTTTTGGTTTAGTACCGCGCACGTAAGCCAGTAACCTACGATCAGGCGTTCAAAAAAAGAAGAAGGACCGCTTGATCGCGGGTTAGTAAGCCAGCTGCACTGATAGTTCTCCCTGATAAAGTTCTGACCAAACTTGTTTTGCGGTTGATTTACCGGTTATAGCGAAGCCTGCCCAGTTTACTAGGCTGGACCTCCATGTAGGCTCCCCCAATTTGTCAGTTTGTAGAAGGGCCGTCTAGAATGGATTCGCTTGTGATACATGAAGAAAGTGTCGTAACTTAAAGCAGTATAAAAGAGAGAAAAAATTAAACAGAAGAAACCACAGTATGAAAGGCTTCAAACCGCAACATTTGCGCTGTTATACAATAGACATCCATATCCACTACTCCATCCAAAGCTAGTGGTTTATGCAAACGTATTTAACCCTGACATTGCTCATTGCATCATTTGATAGCTAACCGTGACATGCCAGCTGTGCTTGGGGGACGACGGCGACGGCAACGAGAACGCGTGCGCGCGGACTGTGAAAAAGCAACAGGTTTAGATTAGGAACTTCTATTGACGCTGAAGACAACAACTTTGCACGTACCTCACGCTTTTCTGTACATTTCTTTGCCGTCTCTGCACGACTAGGACCATTTTAGGACGGGAACACAAGACAACGATTTTCTTTTTCTTTTTGTGGACTAGATACAGTCCTTTAGAATTCAACTCCTCTAAAAATCGCCAACATTTGACAAATTAAAAGAGTTGGAATAAGAACGATGAAGTTTGAAACAGCCGTCGCCACTGTTCCTCGGTGCTAAACAGTATACTCAACCGTTCTCTTCCTTTCACAACTGGCTCGCTCTGATTTGCACACTTTCCTCAATAAATGTGCCCGATAAATGGCTCTCCACTAGGAATAGCGTTTTGTAATAATCGTGAATTTGGGGGATGATCCCTCTATAATGTGTTGGTATAGCACATGTAGGCATGAAAAGTTGAGTCAAAAAGGGCGCCAAAGACGACTGGAAATAGGCCGTATCAGCATCAAAAAATAAGGGCTCCAATTCTATCCAATGCACTAATTTTTTGCCGCGAATTTGGTGTTTACAAGTAGGAACCTCTTATTACTGACCCGAGGTATTGTCTCCAAGTTTCGTTTTGACATGAACACCAGTAACTAACAACGCATTTGAAATATACAGAAATGTGAAACTTGGAGCCAAGGCCTCCGAATAATTAATGACTTCGTGTTTTGGAATCCTTATTTTATTGCGTTACAAGATTTCAATTATAGTGAAACTTGAGGGTCATATGAAACGACAACTAATCTCGAGAATATCATATTTTTTAAAAAAAAATTATCGAGCGGTACGTTTCAAAATTATTCGCTTATTTGTTTAGGTGGCCAGAACCTAGTTATATGCGTAAAGGTTATGTTTTTAGAGTCGCGTTTCTTCAGCAGGAACGATTTAATCAGGATTTTACCCACGTTTTTAAGAAGATTGAAATTGCTATGAGGTGAATATTGCATTTCAAATAAAAACGCTTCTATTTTCGACGGGTAACGGCCGACCATAAAGATTGTCCAGTTTTTACTGTATTTCTAACCATAAAAAGTTCATCTCAAATTATCTCGAAAACGCTGTCATAGATTTTGTATTTTGTATTGGAGAGGCAATCTTCTATGAGTGATTGTGGAAAAAAAAACTTCCAGCTTCGAGAAACACTGCAGGAAGTAAGATAGATAATGAAGTCATTTTGTTGCTATGACGACTCCGATGTCATTACGTATAACACTGCTCGTGTGGTATTCGTTTTTCCATATCTTTGTTTTAAGATGGCGACTTAGTTAATGCTCAATCTTGAGAGGTATTGACCCTGAAAAATTCAAACAAGCGTTTACATGACTGAACCAGGCTATAAGCCCGGGCTCACACTTGCGACGCAAATTCAAACGCAAGGAAAGACAAGTGTGAATTTCCTTAACGCAAATGTAAATGCAAACGCAAAGCAAGTGCTGACGCGAGAAATGGAAAATTTTTATTTTCTTGCGCTTACATTTTCCATTCGACCCCCCCGCAAAGATAAAACTGTTTTTCTTCTATGGCCATGCATTTTAATTCTAAAAGTTGCTTAAAACTTTTAGGAAGCTTTTTTCGAAGCATTGAATTTATAAGGGTTGAACTGATGTGGTCACGTGAATCGTGACGTCATGATGATATTCAAAAGAAAGTGCTAAAAAAATGGGGCAGGAATAGTTGTTTACAACTAAGTCTGAACGATGTGTAAATGTTTGTTTTTTGGTACGAAGTTTTTGGTGGCCGAAACGGAGAGAATTTTTAATTTCTTAAAAAGATATTAACAGATGAAAAGTATCACGTGTTCTATTTTGCTTAGTTTTGAATTAGTTAAAAATGCGAGTCAACCATTCTGGCCAGATTTATGCAAGGAACATTATGATAGAATGACAAAAATACTGTATTTAATATCTACTTTGTGGCATCTCTTCTTTCCTGGACTTGACCATAAGTTATCACGTGACACAGAAAAGTGATTTCTTACGTAACAAGAAAATTAGGTTTACCGATTTTTCCGAGGCTGCCAAATTTTGAAACGGTCTGGTAAATTTCCACAAAGTTATGATCATTATAAGATTTTATGCAAATTATAGCTTCAGACTGGCATGCTTATGCACGTATGGACTTTTTTTCATTTTCGTATTTTTCGAGAAGTATAGCTGACTGGAGTGCCTCTGAGGCCATTTTATCATCAACTTCATTAGAGTCTTTCAAATCTAATTTATCAGCTTTTCTTAAGTAATAGTCACATAGTTATTGTTATTTAATTTTATATCTGTTTATTGGTTTATATTATTTTACGGTTGGTGTGATGTCTTACCGATTTTTACCGACCTAAAATGTAAATGTAGATTAAGCGCAGATGCAAAAGCAAGGATAAAAAAAAAAAAAAAAAACAAGTAAAGATTCCATCGGCGCAGTGACGTCGAATACAAGACTGGATGTCTTCCATTTAATTTCAGAAGAGAAAATAGCAGAGAGCTAGTGTAAAAAAATTAAGTGCGCCGCTATGATAAAATTTGTGCAGATACTAATGCTTAAGGACAGGGACTAAGTTTGAGTAGGTATTTATGTTTTCACGATAAAAAATATAAACAGTAAATAAACTCAAATTTTACTGATTATCCTGTTTACAGTATTATAAGTGTACATTTTCTGTTGCACTGAATATAGGTACGTCTTGTTTTCGTCCCTTAAACACGGTGTATACCAAAACCACGGAGGGTAAACTAATTTTGGCCAAAGCTTTACTCTCGTCCGCCATCTTGGAAACAATTTTGGCGGCGCTTCACTGCGCCTGCGTATCTTGACTTCCTTAAATCTGCGTTCGACGTGTGAACGTCCTTTACGCGGGTTTGCATTTGCGTTACATGTGTGAACTAGGCTATACAGTTTTTGCATGGGTCCCTGGGAAATTCCGGGTGCTGAAACTCTTTATTTTCGAATAAATATCCTGCCTTTTTTAGCTTAAAGAGGTGAAAAAAAACATCAACAATCGCTTCAAAGGCCAATTCTAAGAGAGAAGTGGCCCCCTTTTGCCTTTCAAACATTGCTCAGTATGGCCTAATTCTAAAGCTAATTAGGGGAGAAGCCAAACATGTGTTGAAGTTTCATTCGTATCCGGCCTCCACTGATAATATACTCAGTTCTGAAACATTCATTGCCAGTCAGATATAACAAGAGTTAAAAGATCTTAAGTTTTTTGTTCTAGTTCATAGTTCTTGCAGTCATGAGTGCCCACAATTTGAGTTCTGTTGGACTGACTCGTTTTACCTGTACAGTTATAGAGAGAGACGAATTGAGAACACAGAGTTCTCAAGGCTTGCTTATAGTTTGTACTAAACGCAAAGAGGATGAGCGGATTAATAGCTGTACTTAAAGACGGAAAAATATAGAAGGTAAAACCAGTAATTAATTGACATTTGTCTTTCGGAAACAGAGATGGAAAAAACTTTCTGAGAAACAGATAAATACAGAGTGGTGTCCAGCGTACAAAAAAGGCAATGACAATAGTTATCATGATTTTCAGAATTTTCCTATTCTGCTGGCTTCGGTCAAAGTTATTTTGGCTTGTTTGAATGTTAGTTTTTTTGCTTCTCTTTTTCAATCTTCTCATGACCACGTAATACAAGACGATGATCGTAATCAGGGGAATAAAGTAAATTAGAACGATGCCGATCGCATGAAAAACCGTTGTTGTTTCCTCGTTCGCGATAAACCTGCAAACAATCTGGTCCTCTACTGTAGTTATCTTGGAAAACAGTGCGTAAGGAAGAACGATAAGCAACGCTATTAGCCACGATACCAACAATAAGATCCCTCGAATTTTCCAATTCATCATAGCAACTTTAAAAGGAAAAACAATCGCAACAAATCTGTCCAAAGCGATTAACACCAGACTCACAACGGAAACTATCTGAGATACCGCCCTAAAATACATTCCCAACTTGCATACAGCCAAAGCCCAAGTCCCACTGATAAAAACACTGCGCGTGAACATGCCTTCACTAACGTAAAGCGGCCAACTGAAAAACGGTCCGAGGAAGTCAGAGACTGCCATATTCACGATATAGTAGTTGGTGCTTGTCCGTAGGCTGGGGTTCTTGGAGAAGACTACAGCAATGAGCATATTTCCAACTAAAGTAACTGTAGTTATTACGGCCAAAATTGATGTAAACAATGTAGACACCGTCCAAGGGCAACCAGCAGATGAAGTTTTCAGTTGATCTAACGTGGAGTTATCCATTGTTACTTGTTTGAAGCTTCAAATTCAGCGCTGAGAGCTAAACGGATAAGAACATATGAAATTAGCTACAGAGTATAGATTGCAAAACAGCTAGGCGTATTTTGCGTCAGTGATTGCATGTGCGCAGGGGTTCAAACTTAACTGGGCGGTCTGAGAGAGTTTGAAACCTCCTGAGCTCTATGAAACAGAGCAAAAAGAGAGAAACTAACTGTTTTGCGGTCTATATATTGACGGTTTACTGCAAAATACCGTCACACACCTTAAACTGTATCCCACAAATAAAGTACAAGCAATTTTCGTTTGGCTTTGGTATGATTTAGAATAAGATTGAAGATCTGAAGAGTTATGCAAATCGAAGAGGGTGCTATCCGCCTAGACCGACCTCTCGTCTCTAGCTCTTTGCATAATTTCGAGTGTTTCGAGTGGCTTTTGTAATGTGGTCTGGGTACTGATCAGTCTTTTCAATCTTTTGTATTACCACATTTGATAATTGCACCCTTCTGCAACACCAAGAAACCCGAAATTCTTCACATCATAGAAAACCCTAATCCAGTGATTGTTATATTATTCACTAACTTTGATTTGAAATCAAAGTTAGTTACAGCTCTTCTTAAACAACGAAACCTCGACCGCAGGGCTTCTCGGATACATTCAATTTGTCTGACGTTTACATCCTGGAGTCAGTATTGACTCTTAGATAAGGCGGGGGGGGGTCTCCAAAATAAATTTTTCGGCCCTTTGGGCCTCAGTTTGGTCTGACAAATGAAATCGATTAATAAAAAACGGAGATTCATAGGTTAAACTTTTAAGATGGTAGCGCAGTTGTTCAGTGAAAAGTGATGCGAAAGACGCGCGGGGGCAGGAGAGGCCCTTTTTCCCAGATCACGGGCGTCTTGTCTTCGCTTTGTTTGTTTTACTATCTATTTATACAGACCTTCCAAGGCTGTCAACTCACGGTCTCACCATTTACCGGTAACCTCTAAATCTCACGGTGAATTAGAAAATCTTGGAATTGCCAAGGCAATTCCGATAGGAATCGCATAATTTCAAAACCTCTGTCTTGATAATGGACAAGTTGTATTAAGCTAAGTTTGAGGGAAAACTGGGTCCGATTCTGACTTCATTCCCGTAAAAAATACGGTTTGCTAAGGTTTGTGGGAAAGCCTAAAAGAAACTGACTTGAAATGGCTACTCCCCGTCCTATCGCAGACGTGGATAGTGAAACAGAATATCAAACTGACTCGGAGACTTTGGAATCTGAGCTTCCGAAGAAAGAAAACCGGCGGCTGGCCGCAACCAAATAACGTAAAACATTTAAAAGTAATCGGAGTAAATTACATCTAATAGGGTAAAGAAGAGGTTGACAAAAATAATCTGCCTTTCTAGTCTCATTTGACACATATTTTGGAAATTTCCAGGTTTGAGGTCCCAGACTCCAGGTTTTTGTGGGGCTTTTTTTCAAATACTCCAGATTTGCATGGTTTAGGGGTTGGAAGGTCTGCTATTTGAGTGCCTGGCATAGGCTAGTCTTGTGTCGATAATACCATTCTACACAAACTCGTGCTCAGTCTTCCATGGTGTGAAATCCGGCGATATGATATTTGTGCAGATTAACTTCTCGCCATGTGACCTAGAGTAGCCAGTAGGCGAGCATGATAGATGAAGAGACGAAATAGTTGGCGTAGAAAATCTCCTGTAGGAATATTTTACAAAGACATGAACAAATGAAGTATCGTCTGTTGATGGATGTTACGAAAACCCTGAAAACTTCTGAAAACTGTTTTGAAGACCATATTGAGGACTTAAAGTTTAAGTTTCACTTTTGTGCCGCCAACCAAAGTATTGTGACAGGAGTCCAGTACTTCCAGTCATACAATTTAATATTTTCGCATTTACTTACACTGTGGTTGGGTTACCTCAAACGCATGCTTGACGCTGGCTCCATTATAAATGCTTTTGTTTCCCTTCCTTCTCGCTATTCCATTGTATTGAGGTTTTCACATAAAGATTCCGGATCCCAGGACATGTTAGGCTTCAGTGAAAAAACATTATGTATTTTTTAATTTTTCTAACTTCATACTGCTGATGATGATTTTACACATGGCTTGAGTACAAGGTGATATCATTTGGAGTCAAATTTGTCGCTACCCGAATCGAATAAGCCGAGAAGAAGATACACTTAACTATTTTATTTTTTACCAGCTTTACATCAGTAAAGAACTTGAATTGTTTAGATTTATATTCCAGCTTTCATCTGCAAAAACAGGACTAGAGTGGCAGTTTCAAAATTGTTGCTAAAGGTCTTCGTTCTCTCCAACTGACCAGATCTCAAATTAATCTAATTCACATGCATATGCATCATGATTGTATTTTTTGGAACATGCCTCAAGATAAAATAATCTTTTCGATTTACTTACCTGCGCACTTTCCACTTGACTGAAAAGCGTTGCTGTGACTGCTTTGTGAAGTCCACGAGATGTGCCTTAGTACACGTCCTGGCTGTTCCTGATACTCTTGTTGTGTGCTTTCGCTCCTTTAAGGTATTACGCGGTGAAGTGCGTGTGAAGTGTGTACTTCGCTAGCTGTAGGTGACGTTATCCACCACGACATCACGTATTCTCCACAGCTGCGTTGCGCAGCTAACTAAACAAAAGCAATATTATAACAACAATTTCTTACTGCACTGATATAAGTTCCATTCTTAACTTGAAATTCTTAAATACACCGCAGCATGTTGCCTTTTTCAGTTTGTCCGTATTCATGAACTAGTAAGACAGCTCCAGCTGGCCTCTTCCTTCCCGCTGTGTCCCTTTGTGTTTGACCCAATAAAGATCAAAATATGCTTGGACAAAATCACAATTCCTGAGCAAAAAGTTGCATGTTTAAGTCTTAGTTCACAACTAACAATATACTCTAGAGTAAATAAGTCAAGTCGGCAACATAAAAAAACTGATTTGAAAAGCTCTTATCTTTTTGCTTCTTAATAGAGTTAATTCAGCAAATGCAGGTACCTAATATTAAAAGAGGTCACTTTCATTTCCTTCATCCACATACGAAGACAAAACCAAGCAAATCAGATAGCTAGATGCATTGGGAAAATAGCTTAGTCTTCATCGTACATAGTCTTGTCAATAGCGTAAAATCTGTCTCACAACTAGTAAAAGAAAATTCATTACAACAATCTCGAACAGATAAAATTAGGTCCACTGCTCTCAGCTCAGTATTGACTTGTGTGGTTTTATTAATTGTTCAGTCCTTTGTAGTTGGTGAAAAACAAAACTCTTTATAGCCACTTAAATTTATCTTCACTATTGTTTTCGTTTTACATTTTCTGGCCATTCTTCACTTTGCTTAACGTCATATCTATGTAATTTGAACAAAAATAGCCGTTTTTAACTGCGCATCAATCTCACGGTAATATATTAAGAATATATTGGATTTTGTTTACCAACACTGAGGTAAAGTTTAAGATAGTATTAAACAAAGCTAAATAGAGGATATTACATGGCCGCTTGGAGATACGAAATTTCTCTTCGAGTGTTGAAAAATATTTCATGAGTGGGCGCAGCGAACGAGGGAAATATTTTTTCAACACGAAATACCAAACCATTTCACCTTCATAGTTTTTTGGTGTGAAAGGTGCGATTTATTATGTAGCCATGGCAAAGGTGATATTTTCACATGTGTAGATAAGGGACTGTGCAGTAATTATCAGGAGGGGGTGAGGGGGGGGGGGGGGCTGAAAAACTAGAATCATTTAGCAAAAACTCAGACAGTACCCCCCCTCCAAAACAAAAAAAATTAGTTCTAACTCCCCTCTGTTATGTTAAAAATAACGTCGCACCCCCCTCCCACCACCCACCCACCCACACACACACACACACACAACCACCCCTCACCGCCACCATTACAAAAATGCCTTTAAGTAAATACTTTTTATATTGTTATGCTACTGTAAACGTACGCTTACTTGTTGGATGTCGTCGTCTGGAACAAATAGTACCTAATATCAACAAAGCCATCCGTTTCGGAGTCATCCAAATCAGAGTTGTTTTCGGAAGTACTTGTGTGAGAATCAGAGTCGTATTCGGAATCACTGGATAGGAGTTCTGTGTCACTGTCATTGGCTCTATTTCTTTCGTTGTTTCGTGTTCCAGTATGCGAGAAATCAAGAGCACGTGCTACCAGCGCAGCTTTACTTCCAGATACATGAAGATTGTTCTGCCTAAGGTAAATCTTAATTTGTCTTGCTGTGAGGGATTTGACTTCATTTTCTTCTTTCCAGTTAATGTCTGGAAGGGTATTGCGTTCAGCTTCCCTTTTTTGAGCTTTCAATGCAAGAAACTCACGATGTTAAACAAAACTTTTGAGAGTGATTTCATCAACCATCAACTTCTCGCACACCTCCTGCATTTCGTTGGCGTTGGAAGAGGTTAACATACCAGAATCGACTAACTTCTTGACTTGCACACTTGGAAGTTGTAGATCGATTTCATCACTCAGCCTGGACACGTTGGATGGAATATACCCGCGTGGTAAGGCTGCTGTATCACTAAGATCAGGAACAGGGAACCAATTTGAAGGGACACCAGCTGTCCACCTTTCCTTTTCACACGATTTACATGTGGGCTCACGGGCAAACTTCAGGTATTCTAAGTAGTAGTGCCCTCGTCGTACATGATCTTCCTTTAGCTTCTGAAGCTTCAAGCACATAGCATTTCCGCACATCTTTTCACGTTTATCAGTAGATGCCTTCCTCCACTGAACGAGATATTTGGCAAGAAACTGTATGATCTGCTTCTCCCTAGGGTAACTGGGGACAGAAATAAGAAAATCGTGTTTCCCAGGCCCTGGCTCGTCGTGGATTCGATATGACACCTCTCTAGTTAGATTCCATGTATTTTCTAATTTCCATGATGCACAATGCTCTTCAATCTCTTTTTAAGTCATGTTATCCGTTTGTTCAGCTGTAAGACCGTGAACTGGATCTATTGCATGGT